AAAAAACAGCAGCCTACATAATGAGAAAAGATCTTTAATAACCCCATATCTGACAGAGGGATTATTTCCAAAATATACAAAGAACTCAAGAAGTTAGTCACCAAAATGACAAATAATCCAATTAAAAAGTGGAGTACAGAATTAGATAGAGAATTCTCAATAGAGGAATCTAAAATGGCCGAAAGACACTTGAGAAATGCAAATCAAAACAACTCTGAGATACCATCTTACTCCTGTCAGAATGGCTAAAATCAAAAACACCAGCTGGTAGGAGTGCCACCTTGTACAGTCACTTTGGAAATCAGTATGGAGATTCCTCAGGAAAATGGGAATCGGTCTACTACAAGACCCAGCAATTCCTCTTAGGGATATATCCAAAAGATTCTCATTCATACCACAAGGATGTCTGTTCAACTATGTTCATAGCAGCATTATTTGTAATAGCCAGAACCTGGAAACAACCTAGATGCCCCTCATCTGAAGAGTGGATAGAGAAAATGTACACAATGGAGTACTACTCAGCAGAAAGAAAAAGGAATCTTGAAATTTGCAAGCAAATGGATGGAATTAGAAGAAACCACCCTGAGTGAGGTAATTCAGTCACAAAAAGGCAAACATGGCAAGCTTGTTTCTAATTTAAATTTAAAAAGATAAAAAAAGAAAGGGTGGGTTTTTTAGTATCTTTTTATCTTTAAATTAGAAACAAGCTTGTTTTACATATCAATCCCAGTCCCCCCTCCCTCTCCTCCTCCCCTGTCTCCCCTATTGATACTCTATCCCATTCCCCTTCTGCTCCCCAGAGAGGGTGAGGCCTTCCTTGGAGGATCTTTAAAGTCTGTCATATCATTTGGGACAGGGCCTAGGCCATCCCCCATGTGTCTTGGCTGACAGAGTGTCCCTCTTGGTGGTGTGGGCTTCCAAAGTCCATTCCTGTACTAGGGATAAATACTGATCCACTACCAGTGGCCCCATAGATTAACAAGGCCTCCTGACTGACACCCACATTCAGGGGGTCTCGATCAGTCCTATGCTAGTTTCCCAGTAATCAGTATGGGGTTCTTGAGCTCCCCCTTGCTCAAGGAGGACATTTTCTTAAGTCATCCTGTGTCGGTGCCAACTATTCAGGGGGTCCTGGGCCATGTAAGAAAGCAGGCTAGCAACACTTGGAAAGCAAGTCAGTGAGCAGCATCCTCCATGGCCTCTGCTTCAGTTTCTGTCTCCAGGTTCCTGCCCTGCTTGATTTCCTGCTTTGGTTTTTCCCAGTGGCAGACTGTGATTGAGTCATACATCAAATGAACCCTTCCCTCTCCAGATTGCTCTTGGTCATGGTCCTCATCAAAGCAACAGGCAGCAAATAGGACTGCAGTTATGAGAACTTGCTACTGTCACAGAAAACCATAGTTCAATCCCTGGCACCCACATCAGGCCTTTACTTTCAGACAGAAAGACAGACAGACAGACAGACAGACAGACAGACACAGACACAGGCACACAGGCACACGCACACACACACACACACACACACACACACACACACACACACACAGAGTTAAAACAATTTCCAAGAGCAAAACAGACTGGGTTAGGTTGAAATTGGCATTTTAAATCTATGATCTGTCGTTCTTCCCTGGTAAGTAATATTTCCTTACATACATAGCACTCCCATTCTCCTGAGACTTGCTCCATGCTTCTATCTAAGAACAATTTGCTACTATAAGAAAGACATACTGTGTACACATGAAAACCAGACTGGAAACTGTGGTGAAACAGGATAGGGTGGGACAAGAGAATCTAGATTTAGATGTGAATTAGGTATATTTTATATGCTACTCAGACAGGGTAATGAGGTGACTGCCTACACTACAGGTTTGAAAATCTAATAATGAAATCTGTCATTCTGTACAATGATATACATTAGTAACTCTAAAAAAGAGGATGGGAGAAAGACTACACAGTGTCTTAAGTGTAGAACAAAGTTTGTTCTGTTCAAGCAATTGGCATCCCATAATGACATAGTTTGCCAAGAATATACATTTTTAAGTATGTTGATTGCCCACAGCCATGTTATGCATTTCTTAGTGCATGTTAGCTGGAGCAAATGCTGCCTGCATATCTTATGCCTGCCAATGGTAACTACCTGTAAATTGCAACTTGGCCAAGACAGTCTCTCCCTCAGTCTTACAGCTCCAAATACTCCGATTTGCATCATAATTTTTCACATACAACTTTAGTATGATTTCTGCTTGGGATTGTTATGACCATAGTGTCCTCTCCCTCCTACTCATGTATTCAACCATGATTTATTATTAAGGTTGATATATGTTTCATCTTATATTCACACATTATCACCATCATTAACACTCTTGCTGAAACTGGCTCTCTTGTAGTCATTACTTGTCTCTTTGCCATGGCTCCTGTGTTTTGACATTCTGCTAGCATTTTTTTTAGCACTTCTTTACTTTTTGTCAATGCAAAATGTTCCAACCACCTTATCTTGTACTTTTCCTACCCAGGTCTGCAATCAATACTTTTTTAAAAAGTCCTGATCACTTGAACTTGGGAAACTGTATTTAGAAACAAAGATTTGGACCCTTCATGTATTGATAACCTTTTTCATAATTATGTCTGCCATTGTTTATAGTTCCAGTTTGCAGACAGATTCAGACATGCATACACACATTCATCCATTTGTATTTCTATATATCTCAGTACACACACATAACAGTTCAAACTGTTATCTGTGATGTCTCAGGAGTTTGTCTATATTGTCCATTTTCTATTCTTATACCTCAGTTTTCAACAGTATCTCATCTCAGTATCTACTGCATATTTACTTGTTTATTAGCTAGTTCTTAGCATACCTATTAAGTATTTTCAAAATTGACAATCATGGTCTAAACCATAACATTTCTGCATGGCTGCCTTTACCTTGATTTTATGGTGCAGTCTAGGAAGAGCTTTACTGGAAGAAGAATTCACTTGGAGAAAAGCTACTTCTCTTTATCCATTCACTCTCATCCCTACTCTTGACACCTTTTCTCATCTTTTTATAGTCAGGATGTTACCAATCTCATTAGCGCCTAACTTTTTATTTCTGTGTTCTTTCTGCACAAATTGGCAGACTGCCTAATTTATTATAGCTTTTAATTTCTTACAAGAAACATTGCATTCAACTGACTCGCTTTTGAACTTCAGCTACATGAACCTGATGATTTATCTTGTCAAATTTTCCACACTAACTTTTAGACATTTTCTTTACTCTCCTTTTTTCCCCTCACAATTGCAGGCTATACTCTCGTATGGATGATCTGTAGTTTTTTCAACTATTTACCTATTTGGGGGTATTTGTGTTGTTTCAATAATTACATAACTATAAACAATCCTACAATAAGTAGCTGTGTGTACATGTGTTCAACAATGTTAGGAGAAGACCTGGGATTAAAAGTTTGCTATTGTTTCCTGGTCTAATTGTATTTTAGATCAAATAATTTAATTTGAGATCACTTTGAATAATAAAAATTTTGTATTAAATGATGCTAACTGTATGTTATTTGCCTTTGTTTCTCTATTCTGAGTGCAACTTCTGAGATAGTATGATTAAATAAATATTGCTCTTAACTTCTAGAACAGACATCTAATTCTGAAAAGCTTCTCTTGTCTCCATAAACTTTAACATTTTTCTCACTCTCCATTCATTAAGAATGTTATTGACATTTACTAGTTTTTACTTAAAATGGAATCCATGTTTACAGTTTGTAATTACAAAACTTCAATATTGCATTAAATAATTCATTGTTTAGAGACAAGAAATAGCAATGGTAACCTGAATCCCTAATCTTGTTTCTTAGACATTCCACATTTTGAGGGGCAGAGGCAAAAGCATCATAGGTCAGGACCTGTCTGCATCCGAGGACCGGCTGGCGTAGGCATAGGGATTTCATTCCTCCGAATGAAAGGTGTATACTTAGCATCCTGAAGGTGTGAGCTTCTCAGACCTCCCGAGTCTCTATTGTCTGCAGAGCATGTGTCCAACATCCCCTAAGACTGCTCCCCAGTCCATTAGACTCTTTCCATATTCTGCCTCTATACTGATTCTAGAAAGTTCTTGGGTGATTGTCCATGTTTTTGGAATCTGAATCTGGCTTTCTTTTACCTTAGGACTGCCTACAAATTTCTGTGTAATTCACCAGGAAGTAGACATCTAGCCAAGCTTCCGATAGCTGCTGACTAAGGGCCTCAAAGTTTTGAGGAGATGTTAGCTTCGGACATCAGATTGAACTGAGCGATTCTAGTTAACAAAGAACCTTTTCTACCAAAAACCAACTTCTGACAAAGCTTCCAATGTGTTTACCTATAAAATTGTATGCCCCACCTATGGACATGTATGCTCACCTATGTAAACATATGTCTAGTCTATGTAAATGCATGATTTAGCTGTGTAAATGTATGATTGCCTAAACAAATATATGTGTCATCTATGTGGACTCTCCTACGTAAATGAATGTTTCATCTATGTTAAAGTGCACCCCAGTCATGTAAATGTATGTCCTATCAATGTAAATGTGTTCCTACTCACTTGTATCACTGATGTAATTGTATGCCTAACCTGTGTAAGTGTGTACTCACATTGTAAATATGTGCCCACCTATATTAATGGTATTCCACCCACATAAACGTATGCCTCACTTATGTAAAAATATATCTCACCCATATGCATTTTTGATCACCTACATAAATGTATGCTCAGCTATGTACATATGCCTCTGTTATGCAAATGCATGCCTTACCCACGTTAAAACATCCACTTTCTTTGTGAATGTATGCACATCCAGGTTTATGTACACCTCACGTATTTGATGTATGCTCACCTCTGTACATGTAAACCCATATCAGAGGGGTTGTCACATAGCAAAGTGTCTCTGGATCCAAATAAAGAAAACAAAATCTGTCACAACACCATAGAAAAAGCTTTTTAGGTGTTAGTGTTCTTAAATTTTTACCTCCTCGATCCCGGGCAGCTAAACTTTGACCCCTTCTTAGCGTGATGTCCAACTGGTACATTCCGGGACCAGCCAAAGGGATATCGGCATTACTGGTTCCAACTGTATTTATTTTCTGTAAAATAAGAAATATATAAAACACTAAGTTTATTTTCTTTGGTCTAATCTCTCCAGTGGGTGACTACATACACTTTAAAACAAATTATGAGAATTATCCAATGGAATCAACCATCACAAACTGTTCTCTGAAGGTTTAAAATTCAGGGAAGTCTTTAAACTCAAAATAAAAGCACTATAGTCACACAAATGTCCTGTTTTAACTCTGTTTACAGCTAGCCATTTCAGTAGGAAAAATATTGCCTATGAGAGATTATACAATTCACTTAAGAAAAAAATAACAGAAATAGTGTTTAAAATAAAAAATACAGTGAAAGATGAATGGAAAATAAAAATGTAAAAGGAGGCTGACTCCCACATAACTGAAAACTAAAACTAAAAGGCTTCATCAGGTGACTGTATTGACTCATTCATTTATGCAAATATCTCCCACTGATGTGTTATACACTTCTATCTCAGACCCAACATAAAATATGACATACTTATATAAAAATACATTTTCCCAGCATTTTGACCATATTTTCAGGAAGCATATCCTCAATGGGGCTTAATCTTAATGCTTCTTTCCTTGGACTCACTGTGCAATACTGTTTATAGATCCGGAGACTTAGGCAGGGCTGCCTAATGGAATATTTTAAACAACAACTCATAGTAAGAATGTAAAGTCATATAGTTTTTTAGTTTCAGCTAGTTTGTATACTTGCTTCCCCAGCCTGAGATTATTTAAGATTGTCATTTCTTTTCTAGCTAAAAGGGGATATTCTTTAATTTTAAAACTAGCATGGGTAAGAAAGAACAGTAGTGAGCAATCTGGCTCCCAGCACCACAATCTACAGGAAAGGCGCTTACAAAGCACAGTCGAGAAAACTTTACTGAGATTGAATTCACATAGTGCAAAGTCACCCTTTAATAAAAACTGCACTTTATTTGAAGTTTTATGATCCATGTAGAAAGCTTTCCTGGTGGAGCAATTATTACTTAAAACAAGAAGCACTGTTACTTTGATTGACACCTGAACTCATAGTCTCTCCTCTGGTAACAATGAAAATAATTCATCTTGTTCCCATCATATCCATAAACGGCAGCTGCAGTCCCCAGGCCCCAGGATGGAAATTTTGAGCCATCTTTGGCTCCTTCATTTGCCTCCTACTCACACCCAAATAGCTGCCAAACCTCAGGTGCTCCTCTGCATCACGGCCCCCAACTGCCTTCCCTTTTAAGTCCTGCTGACACTAATACACACAGTGTTCTCACAGCACGGAAGTGGGAACTGAGATTCGCTCCATGATTACCATTTAGCAGTTTAGGATGCAACCTTTCAGACTCTTCAAAGCCCTGCTCAAATATGCACATACACACGTGCTGAGGGTTATGTTGATGGGTTCTAGTTTCCACTTTGAACAATGTTAGTGGTTAGTGTATTTTCCCATTATTCACAGTTTATTTAGGAAAAAAATATCACTGGTATTACAGGTACTTTTCTGACCAATAAATCTCTCTCTCTCTCTCTCTCTCTCTCTCTCTCTCTCTCTCTCTCTCTCTCTCTCTCTCTCCTTCTTTGCTCCTTCCTTCTCTCCTCCTTTCATCTTTTCCTCCACTCCTGGCTGTATGGATGTGAAATTAATAAGGAAAAGCCTATTATTTTATGACTTACAATAGAATAATTTGCTATTTATGTATTTCTGAAATGATTATTGCAATTAAGTCAGTTGATACAGCTTTACTCCGTATTATTAGCCTTCCATGTATTTTGTTTGGTGGTAAGAACATTTAATAACATTTTAAATATATAACTCATTACTACTATCAAGCTGCATATTGGGTCTCTGTACTTATTCCTCTAATAACTGAAAGTTTTTATGCTTTGACCAACTTCTCTCCCTAGTCCCTGAACTGCATATGGTAATCACTGTTTCATTTTGTTGCAAATATTTCCTGCTGCTGTGTCTTCTGTCTTTGATCTTTGTACATGTTAATTGTGGTCATTAAACTACTGAGCAATTAAAGCTGTTTTATATCCTCTGTAACATCCACATTTCCTAATTTCTTAATTTTAACATATTGTGTTAATTTTTTATAGTTAAAATATTCTTACAATTTTTATTTTATGTAGTTTTTAAATTATAAAAACAAGATTTAAATATACTATAGGAAGTGAAATCTTTTTCTTTTAAATGTATTTTACTAGCTCTTTGAGAATTTTATACAATGTGTTTTGATCACATTTAACCCCTACTCATCCCCTAACCCCCAGATCCACTCCTCACCTCCCCAACTCTCCCATTTCCATGTCTTTTTAAAAAGTAACTCACTAAGTACAATTCGTGCTGCTCATTTACTCTTGGGTGTGGGACTGTTCCCTGGAGCACGGTTGGTAGCCAGTACTTTCTAATACATTAAATTGCCAAGTAAACTTGGGTATACATATGAATCCCATTTAAGGTTTATTTCTGTGTTCATATCAATGCATTTGCATAAAAAACTTTGGATTCTAGAACTTTAGGCTATCTAGCCACCATCATATTTGTTTTCTAGAGTTTCCTAAATATTGTAGCATTTTTATTCTTTCTAGTTCAGCAGGGCCAGGCTGGCTGGGGCTGAACAACTTACCACTTCTGCTATCTACAGCAGCTACTTAACTTGCCTTTACTCTGGCTTCCTTCTACATTCATAAACAGTACATTGAGAACTTGAACACATATAAGATGTTAAATATGCGTCTGGCATACAGCAATCACTCAAAAACACCTGTGCTTATTACTTTTTACATAAGATTTTCTGATCTAGCCTGCATTGAATTTCTACAACAATGTGAGAAAGGTTTAAATTTCATGTATTGTATATTTCCATTCTTTTAGGTACTATTTAGAAACTTTTAATAACATAGTATTATTTTCTTCATATACTTCCTATCTAGAGATTAGTTAGATAATTAGTTAGATCTATCTAACTAATTTCATTCTTCAATGTTCGCAGGTTTTTTCTTTGTCTCTATTGTAAATGGAATGATTTTTTTCAATTTCCATTTTCATCAGTTTATTTCTAATCTAATGAGCACATATTATTTTATATAGTGATTTTATTTCCTTTCATTTTGCAAGTTGTGTTTTTGGTTGTCTCTGTACAAAAAAAAATACGTTCTGCATATAATGCAATGCCTGCCTCACTCTTATTTTGTAATGTTTTAGTTGCTTATTTTTTCAGTTTTTTTATTTTTTGATTTCATTTTAAATTCCAACTACAGTTCTCTCTGCCACCCTTCCTCCCTTCCCTCCTCGTCTCTTCCCACCCTCCCTCACCTCCCACCAGTCCACTCCCAGTTCACTCCTCCTCGTGAGGAGTCAACACAGTATGGCACAATAGTTTGGGGCAGGGCCCAACCCCTCTGCCATGCATTAATCCCATCATAGGGAATGGGCACCAACAAGCTAGCTCGTGCACTGGGATTATATCGTGTTCCAGTCCTACTGCCTGTAAACATGGCATCGCCCACTAACGTATGGGCTCCAACAGGCTAGCTCATGTACCAGGAGCTCCTCTGATAGTTCAAGCTTCACAACTGTCTCCCACATATGCAGGTCCTAGTTTGGTCCGCTGGAGTCTCCACAGTTTTAAGTCTAGAGTCCATGAGTTTTCACGAGTTTTGTTCAGCTATCTCTGTAGATTTCTCCATTATGATCTTTACTTCCTTCTTCATATGTTCCCTCCTCCTCTCTTCACCTGGATTCCCACAGCTTGGCCTGGTTCTTGTTGTGGACCTCTGCATCTGGTTCCATCAGTTACTGGATGATGGCTCTATGATGATAGTTGGGGTATTCATCAATCTGATTATAGGGGAAGGCCAACTCAGGCATCCTCTCTACTATTTCTAGGAGCCTTAGTTGGTGTCCTCCTTACAGATTCTTGGAAGTTACCCTAGCACCAGATGCTTATTTTTTAATCTTGTTACTTTTCTAAAAGGGTTTTGATGGGGATGACTTCTGTACTTTTGTCACATTGGTTGATGAATAAAGCACTATGGTCAGTTAGGCAGGATGACAGGAGGGACTAGGAGACAAGGAGGATTCTGGGAAGTATAGGCAGAGAGTCAGTAACAGGAGTAACAGGTCCGGATTCTTCCTCTGGTAAGATAAGACCACATGGAAATACTTAGATTAATAGAGATGGTTTAATAATTAAGACAGAGCTAGCCAATAAGAAGCTCAGGTAACCAGCCAACACTTTCATAATTAATATGTCATCTGTGTGCTTCTTTAGGGCAGAGAAGGGTGTTTCCAGCAGGCCAGAAAGCTCACGGTACAGAATTTTTAGAACAGAATAGAAATTGTATTTCTGAATTGCATGCACTTATTTTAACTTCTGAGATTATATAGCCATGTAGTTTCCCCTCCCCATCCTCCTTCCTCTCCCATGTACTTCTAGCATATGATCAGATAAGTCTCATTAAAGTTAAGCTCTTTCTTCTACTCTTCATTTACTTTGTCTTTTAGAATTTACACCAAATTTTTGGTTGGTAATTTTTATAGTATTGAACAATCACCATATGTGAGGAATAACCTCTACTTGGCCCTGTGAGTGCTTCTGTTTTCTTGCGTATCTGTGATTATGCCCAAACGTGTGTAGCTGTTGGTCTTAATCAAGAATTCCCCCATACTATGTCAAGTTACCATTTTAAACATGTGGCTTCTGCCTTTCACAAATTCTATTTTCCACAATAGACTTGGATGTACATTAGACCACTGCCTTTGTTCTCCTGGTTTCTAAGGTCACCTACAAAGGAAGTCCTTAAAGACAATTGTTAGCTTTTTTTGTATCTTTCTTTCCTACTTTACAGTATCTCAAACACCAAATTTGTTAGATTGTGAAGTATAAAGTGAAGATCTGAGGCATTTAAGGATAAAACTGAGCATGGTTACAATGGAAGCTCCAGGGATAGATGTCTTCAAGGACAGAGCATCAAGCTGAGTTTAGAAAAACATGGAGATCTACAACCAAGTT